TGCTGGGTAGTGGGGCTTTTTTCAGATCTGTGATTGTATACAGTGCTGAAATGAACAGCCTCATGCAGTATTGTTTTGCTTTTCACCAGTGTTTCCTTGGGTAGGTTTCTAGAAGTGAGATTGCTTTGGGTCAGAGGTCAAGTGCATGGTGATTTTGTTAGATAGTCACCAAATTTTATGGCATTGGACCTTGTATCTTTTGCACTCCCATCAACAGTATATGGAGCACATAGCTTTTGGGTTTTTTTTGTTTGTTTGTTTGTTTTTTAAAGTTCATTCATCTCTTCCATGAGCAAGAGAGAGCACACCCTCAGTGGGTTCCCAATGCCGCGATCCACCCCCATCCCCAACCAGCCCTGGATCATGGCATGCACGTACCCAGTTACCTCTGGGAGGTCTCCGGATGCAAACAAAGAGCCAACTCATGTAGGTCAGCCTTGCAGGGTCATGTCTTAGCTGCAGCACTGCCTGGCCCCATGGCATGTTTGATGGAATGCAATGTCAGATGCTAAGGCCTTGGAAAAGTAAAGCAGATCTGGATTTGAGGGTCACTTCCACTTAACTTTGTGTCCTTGGGCAAGTTTTATAACCTCTCAAACATTGGTTTCTTCATCTGTCCAGTGGGCATAACAGTTGTTTTGAGGGTCGGTGAAGATAATGCAGGTATGAGCACTGTGGTCTGGGAATGCTTGACAAATGTCATCTGGGGGTATTCGTATGACAGCTTAAACATGCTGAAGATGGGCACTGCGTGCAGCTTCGTGGCTGAAGACTGGGACATTCCCATTTTCTAGTCTCTGAAAGGCGAGAGACTAGAGAGCAGAGTTTTTCCTCTTTGAGTGGTGGCCAGTCGAGGAAAAATGCGTCTCCATTGCTTTTGCAGTTTTCCACCTCTAGTTAAGTCTCTGACATGATGAACAGGTTTGGCCTGCATTCTGATTTAGCTCTCAGGAAGGACAGGGCATTACTTGATCCTTTCTGCTCTCCGGGGCTAATGGGCAAGAGTCCTCGATGACTACCTTGCAACTCACCACAGTGCACGTCTTGCAGGGTGATGCTCTGGAAGCTCACCTTGAAGCCGAATTGCTAGCGGTGCTACGAGTATAGGCTGAACATGGCCATTTTTCATAAAGTGGTTTTCCAGATACAGTGTCAAGTAGCAAACATGCCAGAAGTGTTCAGAATCTTCCATGACACAGCTGTGGATGTCTGTGGGCCAGTCTGCAGATCACGTTCTTTCGGCAAAGTCGGTTGTGACTACCTCACCAACGGGTTCTGTAGAACTTGCTCCTAAAACAGAATCTTTAACCCCAGATGGACCTCAGCGAGTCCTTGAGCCCTCTGTGGTTACATGCAGAATTGTAGAGTAAGGGTGTATGTATGCAGACCTGTGTGTGCATGCCTGGGTTTGGGGCTTAGGGGCTTAGGGTTTGCATCAGGTTATGAAACATCCACGATCTGAAGAAGGTTTGGAAACTCAATCCTAAGCCATATTCCTTTTTTAAAGTTCATTCATCTCTTCCATGAGCAAGAGAGAGCACACCCTCAGTGGGTTCCCAATGCCGCGATCCACCCCCATCCCCAACCAGCCCTGGATCATGGCATGCACGTACCCAGTTACCTCTGGGAGGTCTCCGGATGCAAACAAAGAGCCAACTCATGTAGGTCAGCCTTGCAGGGTCATGTCTTAGCTGCAGCACTGCCTGGCCCCATGGCATGTTTGATGGAATGCAATGTCAGATGCTAAGGCCTTGGAAAAGTAAAGCAGATCTGGATTTGAGGGTCACTTCCACTTAACTTTGTGTCCTTGGGCAAGTTTTATAACCTCTCAAACATTGGTTTCTTCATCTGTCCAGTGGGCATAACAGTTGTTTTGAGGGTCGGTGAAGATAATGCAGGTATGAGCACTGTGGTCTGGGAATGCTTGACAAATGTCATCTGGGGGTATTCGTATGACAGCTTAAACATGCTGAAGATGGGCACTGCGTGCAGCTTCGTGGCTGAAGACTGGGACATTCCCATTTTCTAGTCTCTGAAAGGCGAGAGACTAGAGAGCAGAGTTTTTCCTCTTTGAGTGGTGGCCAGTCGAGGAAAAATGCGTCTCCATTGCTTTTGCAGTTTTCCACCTCTAGTTAAGTCTCTGACATGATGAACAGGTTTGGCCTGCATTCTGATTTAGCTCTCAGGAAGGACAGGGCATTACTTGATCCTTTCTGCTCTCCGGGGCTAATGGGCAAGAGTCCTCGATGACTACCTTGCAACTCACCACAGTGCACGTCTTGCAGGGTGATGCTCTCTGGAAGCTCACCTTGAAGCCGAATTGCTAGCGGTGCTACGAGTATAGGCTGAACATGGCCATTTTTCATAAAGTGGTTTTCCAGATACAGTGTCAAGTAGCAAACATGCCAGAAGTGTTCAGAATCTTCCATGACACAGCTGTGGATGTCTGTGGGCCAGTCTGCAGATCACGTTCTTTCGGCAAAGTCGGTTGTGACTACCTCACCAACGGGTTCTGTAGAACTTGCTCCTAAAACAGAATCTTTAACCCCAGATGGACCTCAGCGAGTCCTTGAGCCCTCTGTGGTTACATGCAGAATTGTAGAGTAAGGGTGTATGTATGCAGACCTGTGTGTGCATGCCTGGGTTTGGGGCTTAGGGGCTTAGGGTTTGCATCAGGTTATGAAACATCCACGATCTGAAGAAGGTTTGGAAACTCAATCCTAAGCCATATTCCTTTCTGTTTTGAAGGATGTTGCAGCTCGGGGCTTAGATCTCCCTCAAGTCACGTGGATCGTTCAGGTAATTTTTTAGTTGTTAAGATGTGAGCTTGAGGCAGGAATATATGATCACGAGAGATGCATTGGCTATAAGTAGAATAATTACTATTACCCTCTTGGGTGTTGCCCTGGTAACCAGGCAGCAGCCAGCCTTATCTGCTCAGTTATTCTGACATCATTCCTTAGCCCAGCCCACCCAGCCACAAGAGTCCTCGATGACTACCTTGCAACTCACCACAGTGCACGTCTTGCAGGGTGATGCTCTGGAAGCTCACCTTGAAGCCGAATTGCTAGCGGTGCTACGAGTATAGGCTGAGCATGGCCATTTTTCATAAAGTGGTTTTCCAGATACAGTGTCAAGTAGCAAACATGCCAGAAGTGTTCAGAATCTTCCATGACACAGCTGTGGATGTCTGTGGGCCAGTCTGCAGATCACGTTCTTTCGGCAAAGTCGGTTGTGACTACCTCACCAACGGGTTCTGTAGAACTTGCTCCTAAAACAGAATCTTTAACCCCAGATGGACCTCAGCGAGTCCTTGAGCCCTCTGTGGTTACATGCAGAATTGTAGAGTAAGGGTGTATGTATGCAGACCTGTGTGTGCATGCCTGGGTTTGGGGCTTAGGGGCTTAGGGTTTGCATCAGGTTATGAAACATCCACGATCTGAAGAAGGTTTGGAAACTCAATCCTAAGCCATATTCCTTTCTGTTTTGAAGGATGTTGCAGCTCGGGGCTTAGATCTCCCTCAAGTCACGTGGATCGTTCAGGTAATTTTTTAGTTGTTAAGATGTGAGCTTGAGGCAGGAATATATGATCACGAGAGATGCATTGGCTATAAGTAGAATAATTACTATTACCCTCTTGGGTGTTGCCCTGGTAACCAGGCAGCAGCCAGCCTTATCTGCTCAGTTATTCTGACATCATTCCTTAGCCCAGCCCACCCAGCCACTGAAGCAAAACAGCCTGAAGTGCAGCCCCTGGAGGGAGGGGGCACACTTTCCTGCTCCTGGACTGATTGATGTCACAAAACAAAGTTTCGACAGTCTGAAAATAAGGGACTTTCCTGGGCCCTTGGGAGGCCATGTGGCACCCTAAAGGAGGTGGCTCGGCATCCTGAGAGCCGCCCATGTGCATGACTTGCAGAGACATTCCAGTCCCTGACCACAGCTTAGACCCACCTCTAGCCTTGGACACTTGGCCAGAGGGTTCAAGTGCTGGTACTGGAATCCAGTGGTGTTGGGTTTATTTGTTTGTTTGTTTGTTTGTGTCATTAGTCTGCAGAACAGTATTTTCAGCATCCTGTGTAGGGCCCGGGGACACATGCTCTGTTTACGTGAGTCTTAGCTTATTCACCTTTTAGTAGAATTGCATGCCTGTCACTGGTTAGGACACCTGATCTGCTCACCATAGATGATCACTCTTGGACTAGAGGCAGCGGGTCTTCCTTCCTGCTGGCCAGAGCATGAATCGGAGAGAAGGCAAAGATAATTTCAGTGCATGGGAGGCCAGGTGCACAAAATTGATCATGTAAAGCCTTCTTACATTGTGAAAACTGATGAGTTTAATGGACCTGGCCTCCCCGTAGTACATATAGCTTTAATGATGACAGAATGGTTGCCAAAGATAGCCTGAAATGCTCTGCATAGTGCATTCTGCTGCCCTTTTCCCTGAGCCAGGAGAAGAACTACGTTCCACCTGCAGGGAACCTGCCCCTCCGTGCCCTGCCCTCCACCTGAAGGGGACTGAGTGGAGCTGGAGCAAAACGGTGGGGCCTGTCCTTGGTGGCCAGGCAGCAGAGTATCCAGCCCCCTGCACTCTTCCAACATCCAATGTCCTCTGCTGCCTCCTCCCTGCTGCTCTTGTCTACCAAGGAAGTAGGCCAAGGTCATGTGGTCATCCTGGAGAAATATACCCCACCTGCCTACATTTTCACCTTGCACAGTCACCTCCGTGAAAAGATGCAAATAGGAAAATGAAGAGACCTGTGGAGAAATAAAATTAAAAAGGAGATAGTGGGACGAGAAGATGTCTCGTCTCTGAAACTTGGCCACCGTTCACGTTTGTGTGTCGGAGCCTTGTGATTTCCAGTGAAGCCAGGAGTTTCAGGGTTGAGCGACTTCCCTGTGTGATGTGTTAGGGTAACCATAGCACCAGGATTTCATTCTTGGGATACCTGGAGGCAGGTGAGGGGTATTGCACTTCCAATTAATGGCAATCCCTTGATCTATGAATGCCTTCATTTTTGTTACCCTTTTTAGTACAACGCTCCATCTTCACCCGCAGAGTACATCCACAGGATTGGAAGAACCGCCCGGATTGGCTGCCATGGGAGCAGCCTGCTCATCTTGGCTCCTTCGGAGGCAGAATATGTCAACTCGTTGGCTTCTCACAAAATCAAGTGAGTCAGAAACCTGAACGGGTTTCAGCCGATCTCACCTAATTAACTTCCTGTCACTTTTTACAGTGGATGGGCCTTGTAAGCTGACGGAGAGCCATTAACCCTTGTGATCCCTAAATGAGCCCCAGAATAGCCAGTGGCAAAAACTAAAACCCTTAATACCATCAGCCCATGACAATTTTCATTGCATTGCCAGGCTAAGTCAGAGGACGATCTGTTGCACTTGGTTTTTCTTTTAGAGTTTAGTTTCTCTCAGAAATCAGCAGCCAACTCCTTGAAGACCTTTTTTAAGTCATATTTTTCACTTCTTCCAATTAATGATTTGTGTCTTCAAAGGTGTTTGTTTTTAAAAAAGAAAATAATGCTTTTAGCTCATCGCCCGTTTCCTCTCCTCCATGAGAAAGCCCCCCGGGAACGTGATTCCAGGGCAGTTGAAATATGCACCGCACTTTTGCATGGGGACTTTCTGGCCGCCATTTGTGCGTTCGTGGTTAATTCGGCTCCTTGCGTTCCCCCGAGCAGAGCCTGGCCTGACAGACTGGCTTGGAGAGCCGGGGAGCTGGTGCACGATAATTTACTGAATTTCCTGGGGCTTTAGAAGTGGGTTTGTTCTGTTTTCCATGAAATCTCTGGCATCTGAACTAACAGTATCTAATAATGGACTTCTGAAGGCAGGTAGTTTCTGTCACTGATTTACTTGAAAGAGTTTCTTCTACTCAGACCTGGCACGGTGATGGGTAACGAGACTTGAGGAGCACAGGCAGAGTCAGGTGTTTCTCAGGATGTGTGGACAGGCACACGCCACGGACAGGCCGTGAAGGCTGCTGTGAGCGACCTGTCAGCTGTGCTGCTAACATCAGCTCCTGTTTTCCCCTCGTCCAACTTATGCTTTTTATACAACATCAGTAGAACGATAAGAGATTTGTGTGTGTAAAGTACAGACCTGGAAAATCGTCACATTTTATACCTAAGCTGAGAAGTCCAGGCAGGTGGCTTGGGGATGTGGTCTGGGCAGGCTGCAAGACCAGGTACAGGCCAGCCACCTGCAAGAACTGTGTGTGACCCCCAAGCAGTCCCTGCTGTGTTTCTCACCCTGCAGAACTAACTCTCCCTTCACTGTAACAAGGCCTCAGAACACGTTCAGCATGGTTAGTGTGAACACTATGGACCAAGGCTTTTTAGAAAATGCACCTGGGCAGGGACCAGCAGTTGGCACAATGGCTATGTCACTGGACTCCCCTGTAGCCGACCACGGTTTGAGTCCTGGACCCGGTGGCTTAAACTCATGCCAGGTGTGTGTGCATGCGTGCCCAAGATCCCAAGAGGAGAATAGAGGAGAAAGGATTGCAGCGTGACCATCACCCCTAGGAGGTGATTTCTCACTTTCTGTCTGTCTCTCTCTTTCTGGCGAGTACACATGCCCTATAGCAAAAAAACTCTCAAAAGAAAGAAAGAAAATGTACCTGGGAGCCAGCAGGTGGCATGGCCAACCACAGTTCAAGTCCTGGGCCTGGCTATGTGCTTTCTCACTTTATCTCTCTTTCTTATTCTATCCCTCTCTGGTCAAATTAAAATTAATTAATAAGTGGATAAGTTAAGTTAAATAACATTTTTTTGAGAGGCTTTTGCTATAGGGTATGTGTGCTTACCAGAAAGACAGAGAGACACAAAGCGAGAAATCACCCCCAAGGAGGGATGGCCATGCTGCAATCCCTTCTCCATTCTCCTCTCAGGATCTTGGGCGCGTACATACATGCACCCGGCATAAGTTTAAACCACTGGGTTTGGGACTTCAACTGCAGTCCACTATGTGGGAGTCCAGTGACATAACCATTACGCCAACTGCTGGTCCCTAATTTTTTTTATTTTCTGTGACCGAACTTAACTAGCTTCTATAATGCATCTGGTGCCTTCAGTGTTGCAAGAGGCAGGAATCTGCTCCTGGCAATGGTTTTAGGAGAACCAACGTAAAGATAGCTTGAGTTTTGCTTTTATTTAATTCATTCCTTTTATTACTACAGCCTGTCAGTTGAAGGCATGGTTGTCTCGGAAACTTGTGCACTTATTATCTTACTTCTGAAAGAAATCTCCTGCAGATTGATCAGTCATTTGTTTTTACCCAGAGCTGGTTCTCCCGTGGCTTCTGTGTTCCCTGGGACCTGAGGCTGGCTGGTACTTCTCTGTCCAGCCTTTCTGGCATCCGGGCCAACACCCATCCAGGCAGGTGTACTCCAGAAATGCAAGGCGTTGACAGAGCCCGTCACAGCAACTGTTGCTCTTGTGGTCTGTCACAGGAACATGTGTGCTTCCTGGAAGTGCTTCTCATTCTCGTGTTGTGGTCCCACAGTGGGAGATTTATTCACTGCCTCTCTGCAGCCTGTCGCCTGCCCCACAGCTTCATGTCCTGCTGCCATCCTAACCCATGGACTCGCACTCCCCCGCTTCTCTCTAGCACAGCTGCCCCATACCTGCTCCCTGAGACGACCTCTCTCCAAGAGACAAGCAGCAGCAGTCGAAGTCAGACAGTTGTCTGAGCTGACAGCATAGATGCCTCTCTCTCTCTCTGCTTTTTACATTTTTCTTTTACTGGGCTAGCCAGTGGTGTGGTTAAGGCTGATGGACCCCATGTGGCCAATTGCACAGTTCAAATTCCAGAGCCCAGTGGCTTTAGAGAAAATGCCTGGTATGTGTACATGTGTGTCCAAAATCCCAAGAGGAAGAGGAGGAGAAGGGATTGCAGTGTGGTCATCTCCCAGAACTCTTTTTCACTTTCTCTCTCTGGCAAGCACACGTGCCCTATGGCCAAAATTAAATAAGTTTTTGAAAAACTATTTCCTTGGGACCAGCAGGTAGCATGGTGGTTAAGGCGCTGGACATTCCCACATGGCTGACCATGGGTCGAGTCCCGGACCTGGCAGCTTGCTTTCTCACTTTCCCTCTTTCTCTTTATCTCTCTCTCTCTCTCTGTCTCTCCCTGGTCAAATTAAAATAAATGAATAAATAAAATTAAATAATTATTTTAAGAATATTTTTTCTTTTATAAACACATTCGGGTTGATTGCTGTGCAGAGTTCCAATATGAACCTAAAACTGAAGAGAGAGGACACTGAGCACAGATGTGAGTCATTCGTGAGCCAGCTATACTGTAAAGATGTGACCAGCATGCCGTCCTCTGTGACCATCTCGTCTAGAAACACTGGCGCTTGGGGGAGGCTGAACCCTGCTCACGATGAGGAGGCGGCAGCTCGGCCTCACTGATGCTGGGCCAGGCCTGGGAGGAAGAGGGAGGCAGGGCAACAGGGCATGATACCCCATGCCAGGGACATGCTCGGGTCCTCGTGGGGAAAATAGAGGTTGGGTAGTGGATGAGATGTGAGGAGCGAAGAGTCCTGAATGCCTTGCCCAAGTCTGTGCCGAAAACTCACCTGCTGAAGGCCTGGGCCCGGGCCACAGCTGCCTCATGGGCCAGACAGATCCAGAACTGGGTCAGCGTGGCTGAGCTGTGCGTTACAGTTTCTGTTCCCGGAGAGGAGAGGCTGTCCGGTAGCCATGCAGACTGTTTCTTTGACGTGCTACAAAAAGGAAAATCGAATGAGACGATAAAAGGTGCACAGGGGGAAGATGCAGACTTGGGCATTTTGGGAATCCAAGAACACTCCGAAATGTTTTTAAAAGAAAGAAGAGGGGCCAGCAGGTGATGTGGTGGTTAAGGATGCTGGACTCCCACCTGGCCGACGGGTTTGAGTCCCAGGCCTGGTGACTTGCTTTCTCACTGCCCCCCCCAACTCTGTCTCTCTCTGGTCAAATTAAAAAAAATAAATAAAAGTAGTTATCAAAAAGAGAAAAAGAAAAAGAAGTGCTTGTATGCTTCATGCCTGAGAATGTGCAAGCCAGGGGGTGAGATACCAGGACAGCTGATGGGCTACAGAGAAGATCCAGAAACGCAGGCCAATGTCCGGCAGCAAAGGCCGTTGCAGCACATCCCACCTGCCCGACGGCGCAGTGTAGCGGGCTGCTGCAGCGCTGCCCCTCTGCCTGAGAGCTCAGAACTTGGCTTCTGCATCTTTCTGACTTCTTCATATTTGCCAACTTTTTAACTTTTTCCACTTCCCCTTTAAATGTGTTTCTAATGAGAGTCATCATTGGTTTATTAAAATGTAAATGCTTCATCAAAACGTGTATTTCTTAGATCAAGCATAAGACAGTTCTCTGAATTTATTTATTTCTCCATCTCTTTTCATAGCAAGGTGGGGTGATTCCGATCTGTTGATAGAACCGTAAATAATCATAGTAGATTTGCTTTGTTCCTATTCTAAGAAGCAACGCTTCTTGGGAGGAAGGCCCTTTGAAACTGTAAATCACCTGGTCCCAGCTCCTGCTCACTCAGGGCCTGTGGTCCTGGCGGGAGCGTGGCCCCACCCCTGGGAGACCTGCCCTGTGTGGCCAGCTTGCCTCGTGTCCATGGCTATGCATTGTATTATCCCTTTTTTCTTTCTCTCCCTGATTCAAGATTTGACTCTTATGTGCTTATGTTTCTTTTACTTTTGTATTGACATCTTTTCCTCAAGCAAGGGTTGACAAATCAGATAAAGAAAAAGATAGGATTGGGCAGTTTCCGTCCTCCAGGGTTCTGGGCGTACAGAAGAGGCAGTGCAGTAGCCATACATTTTTTCTCATCGGAAAAATCGCTTTCACGGCAAATCCTGGGCATCCTCTCCACTCCTACCCTTGCAGTACCTGCTCTGCCACCTCCGATCGACTCGCTGCTGTAAGAAGACTTCTCCATCGGGCTGTGCGCGCTGGCAGCAGAGGGTGCTGAGGGTGGGGGCTGGGGTGCTCAGGGAGTAGATGACACATCTCAGGTAAATTGCTGTCAGGCGTGATGTTTTCATTCATAGCCCTGTCAGAGTAACCTTTGGGGGACGAGGGAGAATTGTCTTCTCCCACATAAGAGGTTGCCATTCATGTTTTAATTTGCTGTTACATTTTCAAAAAAGAAAAAAAAAAACATACAACAAAATCATTTGTCTTTTTTTATGATCTGTTTTTCTCTCCCAGAACTCCTCTTTCCTTCCCCTTTCTCTCCAGGAAGTATCTTTTCAGCAGCTCCTATTTCCTCCCTCCTGTACTATACTAAGCTACTTCCCACATTCCAGTGCTGGGGCCCTAACTCCATCAGGAGCAGATCCAGTTGGTTCTGGCTCCTGATGGCTTCCGGCCTGGATTCTGGCCTCACAGGCCTTGGCAGTTTGCACATAGCTCTAGTTCAATGGGGATTATGTGTTCTCGCCCCTCTGTGATTAAGAGGGTGAGTGGTGAAGACTCCAGTGGCAAGGATCAGTCAGAGGAGATTCCAGTAGGGTGCTGTGGGTGGGGCTTCAGCCATTTCTTCCCCTTTGCTGAGGGACTAACCCCACAAGTCTGTCTGCCTTTTTCTTTTTTTTTAATTTTAATATAAACCTAAAGACAGTTTCTCAAAAATTTTTTCATTTCCTCACCTCTGCTCAAGTTAAGGTAGCAAGTCCACTTGTTTAGTATTTAAGATTTATTAAGGAATAATGCCATGACGCCTAAAAGGAAATTCTAAATGTTAACTATTTTTTTGAAGAATTATTTTATTTGACTTTATTTATTATCTTTTTTCTTCTTCTCTTCTTCTTCTTCTTCTTTTTTTTTTTTTTTTTTATTTGAGCAGAAGGGTTTGGAGGGAATGAGAAAGAAGCCACCAGGTCCAGGACTCAAACCATTATCAGCCGTCTGGGAGTCCAGCACCTTTAACCACCACACCAGCTGCCCAGTGTTAACTATTTTAAATTCATGCAGGAGGGAAGGACATTGTTGGGAGTGAGACCTTACCTGTCCCTCTAATGTAGAAGTTCCTTTCCTTTTGAATTCCTAAGGGTTTAGGGAAATAATCCCTTTCCTGTGAAGATACCATTTCTACTCTGTGTTTAATTAGCTTGAAAATAGGTCAGTTGTGTACATTAGTGTTTTGGGTGTTTATGAAAGCGTAAAAAGTTTATGTTGTTATGCCCTCTCTTTTACAGTCATTCTGAGATTAAGATGGAAGATATTCTGTCTGTTCTGATGAAGGATGATTGCTTTAAAGGGAGACAATGGGGAAACCAGGTGAGTTGTATTATTTATTGTGCTTGCTGCCAACCAGCGAAACTGTGGAGATTTTGTGTATGGGTTCATTTCCTCTGTCTAACGAAACATGTATTTTGAGGATCGTGCACATTAGAGGAAGTCAGATCTTAACCGTGCTTTTTTCCTCCTCTTTGCTTCTGGGTGGGTTTGCTGGTCTCATCCAGCTAATGGGCTATAGTCCATTCTGGAAGTCTGCCAGATGGCAGCAGGCTCCCCGAAAGGAGGTGTAGGCCAGAGCGAGCCTGGAGGCAGTGTTACACGCTCGGCCGTGGGTCTCTCTCCAGATCATCAGCAAGGACGAGCCACGAGGCCCATCCGGACAAGACAGCGTGGAAGAAATAAATATGTCTCTCCTTTCAGATACACTCACTCCATTCATTTTTTAATGTGTATGCACTATCCACAGAGGAAGAGTAAAGTTGAGATCATTAAGAAGAAAAATTTTTATCTGTGCAGTTCCATATGGAGATTCTGAGCAATTGCAGACAGCCCCAGACACCTTTTCCTGCCTTTTTTCTAAGGCTTCACCCCTGCGAGGTAGTCATTTCCCCATCCCACTCCAACCCATTACTCTGTAATATCACATGTGTGTGCACGTGTGCGTGGTGTTGCTATATATAATTTTGTCTATGAAATATTAATTACTTGAATGTTTTACATTTGTTTTCTTATGCCTGAGGATAGACTGGAAAATCAGAGCCAGATAGATTGAGCTTAAGAGTTTCTTTTATGCTTTAATATGTGCCCTTATTTGGATCGATATTCTCCCTGAGGCAGGGACTAGATTTGACTTATCCCGGCTTAAGTTTTCTTATTCCAGAGAGTACCTAAGGAAATGTGTGTAATAAAGGAGAGGAAATAACCATAGCATGTGTTACCTGAGATTGTATCCTGGGCCAGGACTGTGCTGAGCTCTGTACACGTGAGGTGCTGTTCAGTCCCCCAGGTGGGGTCTGTAGGATCCCCTACCATCCTAAGAGATTCTGCCCCACTGTATAAATGAGGAAAGTAACTTGGAGAGGTTAGTGAACTTTCACAAGGGCACACTAATGATCGTTGGCCCTCTGGGATTTAAAATCAGACGATCTTTGCCTCCATTCGTATCAACTAAACCAAGTAAATACAGAACTAAATTGTTTCTGTTTCCCAGTTTGCTGGCGGGAAAGAGAGGAAAACACCCCCCCATGGGGCATGGGCATGTCATAGTCCTGTCTTCATTCTGCCATCATGTTAAAATTGGGCACACATACACATGTGCCAGGCATGTTTCTTAAGCTCCCGGACCAGGATTCAAACCACAATCAGCCATGTGGGATCTCACTTCCTTAACCGTCAGCCCATGGAGCCAGCCTCTAAATTTTTTTTTTAAGAGAGGTTTTTGCTATAGGGCGCATGAGCTTTCCAGAGACACAGAGGCAGAGAGAGACAGAAATTACCCCCTGGGGGGATGGCCACGCCACAATCCCTTCTCCATTGTCTTTTCAGGATTTTGGGCATGCACACACATGTGCCCAGTGCGAGTTTTAAGCCTTTGGGTCCAGGACTCGTGCCGCAGTCAACTATGTGGGAGTCCAGCGACTTAACCATTACGCCATCTGGTGGTCCCTACTTGTTTTCTAAACTAAGTAAAAGTTGTTATCATATAGGTAAAATTTGGGCAGTAAATGGTATTATTCAGAATAAGAAAAGCTCGGTCACTCAGCAGTCTTATCGTGAGACTTTATGGGACTTGCAGCCGTATTGGGTTCAGACTGTTTATCACTTGTTTGTCATCGAGGGGGTTGACCAGTCACCAAGCAGGAACTTGGTCTTGGTACACACTTTGGTTTTCTGGCACTGTCACCAGTTCTAGTGGGACTTCATTGTCCTGACTACCCCTGGGGTGCTTCGTTAGGGCTCCTGGAGAACTCTGTGGGCCAGGAGGGCGTGCTTGAGGAAACACACAGTGCAAAGCCCAGTGAGTGCTATGGGCTTGGAGAGACAGAGAGAAAGTGAGAAACCACCCCACCCGGGGCGGGGATGGCCACACTGCATTCCCTTCTCCTCTCAGTATTCTAGGCACTCGTGCACATGCACCGGACATGAGTTTTAAGCTGCTGGGTCCAGGACTCAGACCACAGTTGACCATGTGGGAGTCCAGAGGCTTAACCACTATCCCACCTGCTCACCCCAGTACTGGACCTTTCTAACCCTCAGTTCCTACATGCATAAAATTGAGAAAGTAATTTTCTTCAAAGGAGATTGGAGAGTGTGAGGTGCTCCTGAAAAGCCCTGAGTCCAGCACACAATACAAATGGCATTCATTACTGCCGTTGTGTTCGTGGTCATGTAAGTTAGTAGCAGGTGGGGAATTAAAGCCTGAACCCAGGCTTTAATTGGGTGACTAGGATCCCAGTGCCTCTTTTTGCTGTATCGTAATAAGTGGAACATGAGCATCTGCCTGCTCTGCAGAAGTGGCAGCAAGCAGTAAAATTATAAAATGAGATAGCCCAAGTTGGATCAAATCTTGCCCATCCATACTGTTTCTGGGGCCCGGCGTTGGTGTCAGGCTTTGGTGTCAGGCTTTGTCCCCTGAGCACAGATCGGTGCTCTCCAGGGGCTCGGTCATTGTTGTGCCTGCACAGCTCTGGGCTGCGAAAGCAGAAAGCCCCTCCTGGACGCGGCCGAAGGAGCTGAGCAGCTGCATTTCCCTCTGCTCTTTCAGCAAGAGCTGAGCCACAGTCATATTTTTTTAACATCTGCCCTTCTGTGGCCTTGTACTGGCAATTCTTCTCTTTAAGCCTTTTCCCTGGCTTGAGGCCAGCCTCGGAAGACGCCTTGAGACTCTGGGAGCCTTTATAAGATCACGGGGAAGAGCAGGTCCCAGAGGCAGACACAGGCAGGTCTGAATGCTCGCCTCACAGCTGGGAGCTCTGCCCTGTGGGCAGATTATCTTCTCCCTAGCCTCCGTTTTCCCATCTGTAAAATGAGAACCAAGTGCCTATCTACAGCATCGCATCGCTGTGAGATGACTTAGAACGAGGCATGGGGTACTCGGTTCAGTTCTGGGCCACAGTTCTGGTCGGGGTGATTCTTAGGGCCAGAGACTTCTCATCTCAGCCCAAAGCTCCTGCCTTGAAGGATAGGAATGAATGAAATGCTTTGATAAAGGAAAAATGCCAAGCTCGATTAGTCTCTCATACTCATCCTGCTGCAGCGTGTTAACTTAGGGACTAGCATACCAGGTTCTAGACGCCACGCTCGTCCTGGTGCAGCGTGTTAGCTTAGGGACTAGCATACCAGGTTCTAGACGCCACGCTCGTCCTGGTGCAGCGTGTTAGCTTAGGGACTAGCATACCAGGTTCTAGACGCCACGCTCGTCCTGGTGCAGCGTGTTAGCTTAGGGACTAGCATACCAGGTTCTAGACGCCATGCTCGTCCTGGTGCAGCGTGTTAGCTTAGGGACTAGCATACCAGGTTCTTAATTTAGAGACTAGCATACCAGATTCTAGACCACCTGATTTACTGGACCAAATTTAACTTTCTTTCAAAGGGAAAGAAAAATGAAACTAAATTGGCTAAATTACTCATTATTAGATACATAGCCTGAGTGTTTTATATGAGTGATTCATACCAATAGTAAAAAGAAGAGGGGCCCGCGGGTGGTGTTGTGGTTGGAGGCACTGGACTCCCACGTGGCCGACCACAGTTCAAGTCCTGGACCTGGTGGCTTCCTTTTTCTCTCTCACTCTCTCTGTTCCTCTCTGGTCAAGTTTAAATAACTAACTAAATAAGTACAGTTAAATAAAATAATTATTTTTTAAAAAGAATAGGGGACCAGCATGTGGCGTGGTAGTTAGGATGCTGGACATTCCCACGTGGCTGAACATGGTTCCAGTCCCAGACTCGGTGGCTTGCTTTCTCACTTTCTCTCTCTCTGGTCTAATTAAAATAAATGAATGAATAAATTAAATTAAGTAATTCTTTAAAAAAATAAAAAGAAGCAAGGTGTTGGATACAACTTTTCATTCTATTTTGAATGAAAAATAAAGGTGGGGGCCAGCAGGTGGTGTGGTGGTTAAAGCACTGGGCTACAGCATTGCTGGCCGCGGTTGGAGTCCCAGACCTGGCACATGCGTGTGCATGCCCAAAATCCCAGGAGGAGACTGGTGGATAACAGCCTGGCCATTCTCCCGGGGGGTGATCTCTCACTTTACCTCTCTCCATCTCTCTCCAATTAGCACACGTGTCCTATGACAAATAGCTTTAAAATATACGTATATATACTATATGTCTTAAATGCTGCTGTCAGTTCTGGCCGTCCACTTGCACGCGAGCCAGCGCCAGGCGTGCACTTGTAGGTTCAGCTGTGAGGTGTGAGCCCACCACGCAGCCGGGCTCCTCATGCTGCCCTCACCCAGGCTCACGGCGTCCACTGCCAGTGTCCCTTTGGCACATACGTTTTTGGGCTTCTGTAAACAGAGAGAGTGTGCGGAGCGTCTGTAAAATGTATATTTCATGTTTAGGTGTATCAAATATATATAGCTGTGTCTGGGTGTGTGAATGCTCACCCACCTACAAAGAGAATAAATCTGATCTTTCTACTTCCTGGGAAGCACTCAGAAGATCCTTGGTGCTGAGGGGTAAAACTCAGTTTGGCAGTAGAGTGATTAAAACAAAACCTTCCGTTTAGCTTTAAAATACCTTGGAAGCTGGTGATATTAAGGCACCTGCTTCCCAGAGAAACTCTCACAAAAACAGTTGCCCACTGCTGCTACCCCTGACGCTTTGCAGCAAATAGAGTGCAGCCTCGTCATCGCAGACTCGTCTGGTACTTCTCAGTAGGTGTGAATTTCACCGTCCAAGTGTGCACACCCCTGCACAGTTTCTGTCCTCTCGCACGTGACCGTGACTTACCCTAATGAGGAACCCTTCGCGTGCTGGGAGGTGCTGGGGTAAGATCAGAGCCTCTCGTTCGTCTGTTTTGATGGTGTGTGCTCTCCCAGATCAGTAGAGTTAGAGACAAAGGCACCTGAATGTGGGAAACAGCCAGAAGCGTGTTTTTCTAAACTATCTGCGGTTGGCTAGTTGCAAGTTAGCTTCATTAACCAGTGCTGGGTCTGCATGTGGAGGGTGGGAGCTGGACCTGTGGGTGCGTGTGCCCTCAGGGCTTTGACCCGCCCTCATTATAGGCGCCCCTTACCTGTCTGGGGCTGAGCTGGGGCTGGAGAACAGCCCTCTGCCTTCAGTTTAAATTTAGACCGTCCTCCCCAGAAGACAACTGAAAGCACCTCATTCACTCTCAAGAGGGGCAGTTTTCAAATAAAGTGTTCCTGGAAGTGGGGAGGGAGGAGGAAAAGATGTGCTTTTTCCTAAGTATATTAGGTTTTCTGCCATTAACTTTTTCTTAAATTTTACTAAAATTGGCCTCATCATTTCAAACATGTGAGCCTGGTTTTATCATTTTCCTACGTACCTCAGTTGTGTACACACTAACATTATATATATGTAATTTTTTTGGGGTTGGGAAGAAAAGATGCCTCATTTTGAAACCTAAAGGGGGGAATAAGAAAAGCCCTTTGTAATATATTGCCATATTATCACTAAATCCCCTGACAGTTGTGACACAGAAGCAAGTCACCTGTCACTTAAGCTTGAGGTCTCTTTAATTTTCTCCTGGAATTCGCACCAGGCTGTCTTTAATTTGAGGCCTTTATTGGAATTCTGAAACCTCTCTGCCTCCCTGGCTCTCAGATCTATTCTGAGAGCTGTTACAGAATGTATACAATAACCAACAGAGGGATTCGGAGAGGGCTGGAGCGCTGTTTATTTAACACTCTAGAGGGATTTTTGTGCTTATTCGGTCCTGGCTGCCCGGCTTTCAATATCGCTTTGACAACCATTCTGCCCTTCTCATTAATTTTAAACAGTTAAAACACAGGAAAAAGAGGAAAAAGTTTTCATTATTAAAGTGCTTTACTTTTTAATAACAGAGGATTCTGTCCGCCAGGGGAAAGGGCATCCTTGCTAATTTCACATTCATATTAAAAAAAAAAAAGAAAGAAAACGCAGGGAAGGTGACAGTTGTGCTGCTGAGGTGGCTTAACGAAAGGAGGGCAGCAAAAAAAAGTTTGCATTTCACATCAGTTAAGAGGGTAAAAAAAATCCTTGTTAATGACAATAGCAAATGTCCACTTTGGTACGCAGCTCCTAAGTGGCTTTTCTCCTGACATGTTAGCGGATAGAACCCTTAGGGGAACCATGTGCTCTGCACTCAGCCAGACTGTCACCCCAAACAGGCAGCAGCAATGATTTGACTGAACTAGAAGCATTTCCAGGAAGTTAGAAGTCTCCGTTAGTACCGAAATGAACGGCGACCGCAGAGTGAGGCTTTTCTTCTCTCCCCTTTGTTCTTGCTCCGTCAGCCTGCAAAGGTGGAGGCCAGACACGGGCTTGCACCGTCCTCTGCCAGGGTAGGAAGCGTGGCCAGGGCTTCCCTTGTTGGACTGGCCCTAGGGCCCTCCATGGGCGGCGGGTGGCATTCGAGGCTCAGCACACTACAGTGGCGACCCCATTTGTCACGTTGGGCTCATCAGCCTGGAGAGACTGTTCTTTTGGACCCTCTTTTTTCACATTCAGAAGAGAGCTTAATGTTCAGGAACCAAAATCCCCTAGTTTTTAGTGAGGATATTGGGGGGGGAAACGTCTTTTCTCGGAGACTGTTAAAGGAAAGTTTTATATTCTGTTAGCATCTCCTGATGCAGAGTCTGGCGGCGGATAGAAGTGTTACATCTTACAGAGGACGGGTCGCTGCACAGCTGCAGGCTGGCTTTGAGTGTGGACACTCCTTAATCAGCTCTTAGGAACTCAGCCCAGTGCTTGTGGGCTAAAGGAACAAATGTGGAAGGCTGGAAATCTGAACCCTCTGGCTCTCAGGAATTGAGGAAGCATGCTCTGAAATTCAAGGATAGGGGTGACTAAGGCTGAATTTTAGGCAGGTCGCTATGGAGTGCCCGTGAAGAGGAATATCAGCGTTTTCAATGATGAGTGTAGGGGAAGGAGGATTTATAGGAGACCCAGGGCAGGTCTGAAGACTGCTGATGTGTGTGATGTCTAAATGCCTAAATGGGACTTGGGCAATTCCAGAGTGTCTCCAATGGTCTTTCATTTTGAATGTCAGTGATAAGAGGTCAGGAAGGAAAGTAAGCAAGTCAGTAAATAAACCTGCTCTGCCCCCACAAAGCCGCCCACGTCTTCGCTCGACTTTAACATCTTCATAGCCCCCTCCTCTTCCCTGGTAATATTGAAAGGATTACCCTTGCTGGCCCCTGGGTGGTTACTGTGTGATTTTACTGTTATTAAATCTATTATAAACTGCTTCATTATTCCTGACTGTAGCTCTGTCTCTCCTTTAATCCTTCTGTCACCCTCCCAGAAATCCCATGCTGTTGGCCCCCAGGAAATTCGCCGGCGAGCCACGGTCTTGCAGACGATGTTCGAAGATTATGTACACTCCAGTGAGAGCAGGGTCTCCTGGGCAAAGAAAGGTCAGTGGAGTTCTCAGGGGATCGTGACATCAGAGTGCTGTCCCCCAGCTTTACCTGCCTTCCCCCACACACACCACCAGCAGCTGAGAGGCCAACCAGGGGTCTCTACTCACCAGCCAAAACCTTCAGTCTCCATAGTTCTGCATGGTTTAGAAGCAGGCATGGAAGACTTTAGACAGATACTGTTCATTTCACCTTGCCCATGTTTTGCTTTAATGAGGCTTTACCTTGGCTTACGTCAGGACTAGCCCATTGATCGTCCACTTGAATCTTGGGGATCTGTTTTTTACTTTCTTTGACAACCAGACAGAAGAGATTCAACATGTCAGGGTCGTTGGAAAAGTCATAATGTATTTTTCCGTTTTTCTGTGCAAAAATGTGTCATGACTTTTCCAACGACCCAGTAGTTGTAGAAATGGAAATGAGAAAGGAAAGTAAAAGCAAACAGCCAGTGGCATAAGGCAGAGGGATCTCACATAGTTGACCATGGGGTTTGAGTCCTGGACCAGCAGGTTGAACATCACCAGCGGCTCAAAAACACACCGGGCGTATGTGTCCAAAATCCCTAAAGGAGAATGGAGGAGAAGGGCTGGTGATGTTGCCATTTCCTCCAGGGGGTGATTTCTCACATTCTCTGTCTCTTTCTTGCAAACTCAAAAAAAAGAAAAGAAAGAAAAGAGGAAGGGCTGGGAATACTGAGATGTTTCATGGTGCGAAAGAAAGAAGAGAGTATCAAGGAAGAGCCATAACCCGCGAGCCCAGTTTCTAGGGTGTTCGTAACTGCTTTACTCCTCAGACCCCTGTGGGGTTGATCAGCTCCTGGGATCACAGGCATTAGGTGTGGACGTAGCAGTCCCTTTAAGCAGTGGTGGGGGCATGTACTGGCTGGTCCTTCCTTCCTTTCCTTCCTTTTTCTTTCTTTCTTTTCTTTTTTCCATAGACAAGTGTGCTCACTGGAGACAGAAGAAAAGTGAGAAGTAACCCCCAGGGTAATGCCACACCACAGTCCCTTCTCCAATCTCCTCTTGGGATTTGTGGCATGCACACACATGTGCCCGGTGTGTTTTTCAAACTGTTCGGTCTGGGATTCAAACCATGAAATCGACCATGTGGGAGCCAGTGCCTTAACCACCACACAACTGGCTGGCCTGCTGATACTTTATTATAGCAGTTGTCTTTGCTAGTGACTGAGTCATGTGTACTACTGAGTCTTTTTTTTTAAGAAATATTTATTTAATTTTTATTTAATTTGACCAGAGGGAGACACAGAGAGAGAGAGGAAGAAAGTATGAAAGCAACCTGTCAGGTCCAGGACTTGAACTGTGGCTAGCCATGTGGGAGTGTCCAGCGCCTTAACCACCACACCACCTGCTGGTCCCACTAATGAGTCTTATTTATGTTGTAGGATCCA